GTTGAGGTTTTGTGTACGAGAGACTTGATCTTGAATTTGATGAATTGAATGTTGAAGGCAAAAACGATTATTTGGATGCATCGCGAACTTCTTCTGCAAACAAGCCAGAAGTATGTTTTGATATACTCGAACACTCCTCGCTAATTGGCTATGCGGATCGAGTTGAGCAAAATATTGGCAGGAATGAATGTGTGAATGAATGTGCTAGGTGCACCGATTGCGTCGAGGATGAAGCGTGCAATGCGATTGTATACTACAGGTGAATTTCATCAGATTGCTGCCAGATTATTTTTTTTCAACTTGACTGTCAAATTCTGAAAATATATCATGTTTGGAAACAAGATATTGTTGTTGTTGTTGTTGTTGTTGTCGTTGTGAGCATCATAGTTCGTACGCATGTGCATTGCAGTTTGCGGAGAGAATGTATAATGATGGTTGAAACAAGAACTGGTAATGAGGAATATTTTGTTGATAATGACACCGAAGCGGACTACTACGAACGACGTGAGAACTGTGACGAGAGTAGAGTTTGTGTTGATGAGGTCGGTCGGGTGAATTCATTTCAAACTCACATTATTCTAGGTACAAATTGATTTCGACACTGAGTTATCGAAGTGCATCAGAGAAATGGTTTTGTTTCGTGACGATCAAGTAAATTGTTCGCAGTTTTTCAAAGCATACAAAGTGATTAGTGAAAACTCTTGATCTGCATTGTTTAATATGTTCAAGTTTATTGAAACTATCAAAGTTCTGCTGAAGGCATCGTTGGTATTCGTGCTTGATGGAAGTGCTTCAACAGGAAACGCAACATTCGTGAATGCAAAATCGATTGTTTACGAAACCGCAGTTGCTATTCATAAATTGATCGATGTCTTGACAATATCATTTGTGCAAATTAGTACCAATTCAATTATTCACATCGATACTATGATATTTGATGATGAAAAATTCCTTGCAGGTTAAAAACTCTTTCATTCAACTGTTTTTCTCACATTTTATAATCAAATTCTGATTCGTCATGAGTTGCAACCAATTCAAATCTGCACAGTAACTTGCATAATATACTAGTCACGCATGTTGCTTGAAAGCAACAAGTAAGTATCTTTAGATCAGTTGGATGAAATTGAATGGGGCGGAGATGCTTCAACGATTGGCAGTGCCCTCGAAGAGGTGATCCGCTCAATTGATACCACTGCACCAAATACTTGGATGATTGTATTGAGTGATGGCATCACCGCAGACTCGTTGCAAAGATTTGCACAAAAACGCCATCAAATGATGAGTTTTTATGTAGTCCTCTTGCGCGTACAGTTTTCATGTGTTCAGAAATGACTTCAGGGAGAAACACTTTATGTAGAACTGTATTGAAGAAGTGAATAACAGCGGGAGTGAGGAATATATGCCTAATATTTCAGGGTTTGAAAACTCTCGCAGTTTCCTTGACACAAGCAGTCAATCGCCAGTCATTGCTGTCCATTGCGAGTGGCGAAGAATTCGTTTTGACGAATCAGCTCAATAGCAGTTCACTTTTGACAGTTCTTAAAGAACAGCTGTGTCGCAACAAATCATCATTGATAAGGGCTCAACACCATAATTTATCGGGTAATCAGATAAGTTTCGCACTCTCTGTGAATTGCTTCCCCAAAGTGTTCCAAATGTGAGTGGATTGGCACGAATTTGCCGTATTGTTTTGATTGGTTTTTGACCTGTTCTAAAGTTCTTGACCTACCATAAAGTGAGGCAAATTTTTTATGATCTTTTCTATGTGTGTGCTAACTCAATTTGATCATCATTCTATTAATAACTTTCCAAAAAAAGGTCACTGACGTTCCAGAAGCACGGCAGCAGGTATTGGAAATTTGGTTGGGTAAACAAGAAGATGGTACGACCGTCGATTGGGATATTCCGGAGATGTTGATGCGCCATAAGCACTTGAACGAAGACAAAGCTCCACAATGCCCATCTTTAATGAACTCGGTGTGATCAACTTCTATTTCGTGCGCAGCCTTTTCAAATCACTACTGAGTTGGTTCTGTGGATTTGTCGAGAAGCAGAAATATTTCTGTCAGGATAAGAGGGATTGATTAATTGATAAAGCTAGAAACAGTGGGTGTGGATTCTGTTCGAAGCAGTGGGAACGGGAAATCGAATTTCACCAACATCACACTGTTTCAAGATTACCTGCGATACCGTTTCTTATTGTTTGCCTCATTGTTGTGTTGATTTCATCGCAAATTTTTGACTCATCTGTTAATCATTATTTTGTTCCCTTCCTACTCTAATTGAGTCAACCGCATGATCATATACTGATTCGGGTAGGAATTTCAGCTCCAAATGCTCAACTTCACATAAAATCGAATAATTGTTGATATTTTCAGCAGCTACTGGTAGCAGACTGTTCAAAACGGTTGAATTGCATATGCTGGATGACACCATTCACCGAAAACACCGATCGAACGCTATCAAATGTCACGTACTCGTTACAGTTACCTCAAAAGAATCCGAGTGAAACTGAATCAGAAAACGCGATTGACCCAATTTGAAGTGACTAACGTGTGCCTAACATTGTTAACGTTTAACACGTGCATTCTGGCACCCTCACATTGAAAAATGATACTATAAAATGCATTGAAAAATAGTCTGTTGTAAAAACTGTTCCCTCGCTTCGGTTTCCATTACTTTCTTCTTTGGACTGCCAGCTCCCGATCATAATGAATGTCCCTTCTCCTCGAAAACACTTCGTCATGGCTCCGTGGTGGCTGAGAATGATCTTATAAAAGTGACTGGAAAAGATTGCATCGAAGTTTTTAGTGCAGATTCACCAGTTCATACGTAACAGTATCCTGATCACATTGGAATGTCACTTGCTCTAACTAAAAATGAACAATTACGTTGAATAACGAGCTCATGTCCATTCAATCTTCAATGACCCATGCCTCCTGTGAAGGATGCATGATTCATGAGTGTCTTGTAATGCAATTCAAATATTCATCAGTTTTGAATGCGAACCACGACATTCACGGTAGTTAACTCGTGGAAACAGCTTCGAAAATTGTTTTTCATGTATGAAAAGGTCATTCTTGAAAATTTCAAGATTCCTAAAGCATTTCAGGTAATTTATGAAAAGGCCATTTGAACTCTTAGGATCTTGTCTAATGATAATGTTCAGAATTTTCGATTGTTTCCAAACGATAGTAACTGTTTTACCCTATAAACAAGTGAGTGAAAGCACTCGAGGTTGCGTACACTTACCGGCCGAAAGCTAATCTAATGGAGCGAGGGTGGGATGCGGGGGAGATGTCAGTGAGAATGAATGTCAGTGATATATTTATATACACATAATAAATATCTACGAGAAGTGGATGTAAAACGATATACATTACACCGTAAACGATCATTACACGACGCATACATCTATCTCGGCGATACGCATTGACCAGTCAACAAAATAATGTGCTTAACAAAACGCTTCCCAGCGACAAGTGATAATCGCAGCACAGAGGCATCCATCCATCCATCCATCCGTGTGTTCTGAGCAAAGTTGTTTTTAGATTGGAAAACACGCAAACGCATCATCACTTATTAATGCGTATGCAAATAAACGTTAAATATTCATAGCAGAAATTGTGTTTTGCGACCAATAAAAAGCTTTTTATGCGACTTGTCAACGACGCTACGTTTGATAACAACTCGAAGTTAGCTGAGACATGCATTCGGCATCGGAAGGAAAATGATATTTGTTGCTGTACGAGAGACATAGTGGAATATGAGTGCACAAACTTGAATTTATCATTTAACTGGATGGGAGTGTATCATTTAAGTGGATTTTCTTTTGTCATCACTTTAATAGTTTTGAGAACAACAAACTGGAGATTGATATAACCTCCTTTCCATTTATAAAATATTTATGGAACAGTCATGATTTTTTGAAGAAGGCGTAACATCTCAAATAGGGCTTGCGAGGTATATAGCAGTTTACCTAGATTTAAGGATATTTTTCAAACCGACTGGCATTTTTTTGAAAATTTCTACTACGCTTTTTTGGAAAGTTTATCGACTCGGAGACCATATCATCAGCATCGCTCGCCGTCTAGATATGTTACCTCACTGCCATCAGCCACGCCTTGAATCTAAAGTTATATGTAATTAATATAAAGACAATACCAGGGGAATACAGTGTGAATATGTCTGATGATTTCTTATATCCCATTGGTGTTATTGCAATGAAATAAAATCACTAATTTGAACCATTTTTGGCGGAATCAAAAAGTATCAGTTCAGTTGGTTCCCTGTGTGGAAACCGTAAGTTAGTGACAGTAAACGATATCAAATATGACATTGGTACACCCACCACTCGGTATCGAGCAAAACTTTCGTCACGGTTACGCGCAAAAGTTTTGCTGCAAGTGTACCAATGTGTACCAATGTCATTAATGTTGTCGAGTCTGAGGCACGCTATGATTTGGCTTGCATCTGATTGTCTGTTTATGTTATCACGAACGAATTTGCATATAGCAGATTTCAATGGGCATTTCCAAATGATACACAATCTCCATCTAATCCCCAAGTGGTAGATAAATTTTTTGTGTGCAAAATTTGTAGAAAAATGGCTTGCATCTAATTATCGGTTTATAATATCCAATATCTTGTAATGTTTGATGTTTTTCAAATCAAACGCATTCCTCACAAGCTTGTATTGGGTGAAAAACATTGGATCTCGTCAGTGATTTAAAGTGGTGACGTGAAAGGTTGTAACGTAACGAGTTTGATTCACTCACTCAACAATGGCGGTGATCAACACGGAGGCATTATAGAACAAAAAACCGCAATAGATTGCAAGGCATGCTCGTATCTTTTACTTGCTCTTAAATTTTTCCTCTGCTTATCCACAATTAACAGAAGAATCCGTAGTAATTGCGGACGGCCGTATTGCTATTGTGTTGTTGGCTGCTTGTTTGCTATCTCCACTTTAAGCTCCTCCACTTTAGCTTCATCAGAAGTTTCCGAACTTGAGGTAACGATTCATTTACCGCAAATATACACCTGTGTTAAAATACTCACGAGCAAGTGAATACAATGTAAGCATGTGCAATATCGAGTTTCAGCAATGAGCAGTTACAAGCAAACTTTTGTGGTGAGCATTAAGTGAGTACAACGAACGAATCTGTAAATGGTGGGCAGTGAACAACTGAAAATTTTCACTCAACTCGTCAGTAGAAAGCGAACAACTGCAAATGCGTTGTGAGCAATGAGTGGATAACTGTGCACAATTCCTAAGCAGTGAGCATGAGCAGTTCAGATTGTGCTTGTCGCATTGCTGTGAGCACTGTCCTCTANGTGATAGCGGTGAAACCATTCAGTCGTCGAACGTTCAACGCAGCCATGCCGCTTATATTTGTGTATGCTTGTTGTGATTCTTTTGCGGCTAAAAGCACAAAAATCATTGCTACTGCCAAATGGCAACGTACAAATTAATGTATATCTTAAACTTTTTTGGTAGCATTTTTCTTTCAGCAACTCTAAACGGTGATGGAGTTGTGCTGATTTCACACTCGTCAGTTGAAGATTGCCCTTTTGAACCAATAGTTATTGCTGGGCGACAAAAGGGTGAGGAAAAACTTCATGCTGCGAATAGCAAGGACATGAAGAATTCCACGACGTCTCTAATAAATGGAACTGATTTTGTTAACTTGTTCTCCTGCATTACAGCGATCCTTCAGGATGTTCAACTGTTAACCGCACTCAATAAAAACACCTCAAGAACTAGTATTTTCCCAAAATTTCAGCAAATCCGACTTCTTTCTGCACACGACTGGTACACATTCGATAAGCATTATCAACTGAGCTGAATCAGTTTGCATGGGAGAATGTTAATCAGTCTTGATTAACAACGTCATCACATCGAATAAACTATCGAAACAACAAATAAACATTTCGCATTTCCATCAACTTCACCGCATTCTTTTGTTCTGATCTAATTAATGTGTAATCCGCAAAACATATGCGTCGTCGTCGTCTTTCTAGCATTATTCCATTCAACTGTTTCTCATCGCTTTGTGCACAATGTTGTTTGATACTTCGAGTTGTGGTGTGTGCATTGAGGTGTGCAATGCTTAGTCGGTTGACTGACTCGATACTCAATTACAAGCCGCATCCCTCATAGGTGTCTCTCATTCACCATGAGATGGACATTGACGATAACAGTTTAGGATGCTATCCGATATGCAAATTGAATTTAGACATTAACTAGATGATATCATTTTAAAATGAATCATTCATCCCCACACGAATCTATTCGCTCCGACACAAGTAAAAAAAAAAAACATGTGATTGCTGCCATCGACACTTGATCATTCTGCTGTCTTTCAAAGCAGCACACGCTTGTTTTACGGACACTTTGATTAGTCTTCATCAGATTGGCTTTAAATTCACAAATGTACCGAGCAAGTCTCTCAAAATCAAGAACCTTAACCTCATAACTATCACCACTGAAATGATAGGATAAAACCGAATTAGTTGTGAGGATATGGAAGAACACAGCATAAAAACACTGAGAAAAGTTTGCAGAGGCGCCAGTGTTAGATCAAAAGTTCGATTTTCATTTGTTGCCATGTTATGCAGTCACCGTCACTGAACGCGAGATCCATCCATCCATCCATCCGCTGTGTTTGAACTAGAGACGAGCAATGCTTTCTCTCTCATCCAATGATAAAGATATAAGCCGTTTGTTGTGTAACATCATCATCATCATTATCAAAGAGTGCAATTATCCACTGGCAATAGTGAGACATCGCTTTCGTTCAATTTGTATTACTACTACTAAGACATTCTTCTATCCGACATACAATCAAGCACACATTTCCAGTTGACAGAAGTCGATGATCAAATGCTGCTTTATGCTGCTCGCTTTAACAGCATCGAACTGAGTTCGTTGCGTCGTTTTCAGGTGAAATGCCTTCTGATAATATCGTTTACAGTCGTCAAATTGATGTTGAGTCAAATATCCCGACGCATAGAATGATAAATCTAAAATATGCAAATTATCTGTTGCTGTAACGGATATAAGGAAGCCGCAAGAGTAACGACAGCAGCCACAGAAAATGCTAGGAGAAGGATGAAGGAAATGAGAAGCGGTGGTTGGCTGGTCATTGAGAAGAAGGATGTGCAGTAAGACGATGTGAAATGCCAGTAGAGATAAGTGATAATTGTGGATCGCAGAGTGAAAAAGTAGTGGAGTGAGCTGAGCTTCCAGAAGCTTAGCTTAACAACTAACTCATAGCCAGCTCTATACATCCATTCATCCATCTCCATCTATTGAATATGTGTCTGCTGCCTTGCTAAAGCTTTGTGAGTCGTTTGAGTGTATGCCTGCTAATCAATAGCTAGCAGCAGCCAGAGACTTGCTGCAGTGGGAAGGGAACGAACATAACCGCTCGTTGCGACGAGAGCTCATTGATGGCATCGTTCTGTGAAGAGAACAAATGAACTAATCCAATGTCAGGTAGTAGTTTAATTTCATTTTCATTATTTTGATACCATTTTAATTGTGAATACCTTCGTGTCCTTCTTACCGCAATACCATCTTGCATTCACTTTACCAACCCTTCGCCAAGCGATATTCACAATTCAGCTGTTGCTCTTGACTTGCGTCATCACCGTATTCGATCTCATACTTGTGACTAAAGTCATAAGTTTTGCCCAGTTGACTAAATCAAAGTATGTCCTCAGCGAGCTTCTACGTATCCTTCCAAAATTATTATCGTTATCAATAATCAAGAACTATGAGATCATTCATGCTCTTTTGGCACAAACGTTTCCGAAATTACTTTTTTTTTNTTTTTTTTTCGTGAAAATCGGTCTCCAGTACAATGCATTCCATTATGTTCTCATCCTGTGAATTCGTCGAATCCGAGCTGTGTGGATAATGTTCTTGTACTAAACCCTTTCTTATATGAGCTGCTTCTGTTACCTCAGGCACCATATCATTTACTAAACTGTCCTGATATCGCATTCACCTCAGCACTGTTCGTTTTTATTTTTGAGATTTCCCTGATGCTTCAGAACAGAAGTCTAAGAATAATTATTTTTGCTAGCATCATTTATAAAAGCAAGTTCTATCAGTCTTATAGTGTTTTGATGGTGGAGCATCACCGCGCCGGGCAGCATGCCTTATGAATGCCGTATGAACTTTTTTGAAGAAGTGAATTGTAGAACCGTAAATTCCGAAGCCATTCTACTAGAGTTTATTGATTAATTCCTGCGTCTACGATTGAACTTACGTGTTATTTTCACTTCTTCTAATGACTCACCTTTCTTCATGAATCCTGAGCAGTTCGATTGAATTCTATTTGAAAAACCTACCATATCAGTTGTGCTGTCAAGCATTCAGTTTTGATCCATAACTGTCAAATTAGTGAACTGATCTATCTATTCGGATAACTGCTTTTAAATAAACAAAACTCATGCGATAGACCAGACATAATAATGGCTGATGCAATGGTGGTGAAATGAGTTGGCTCCTGTAAACGACTCGAAATTGTACGGTTGGGTGGATTCTGGAAGCTTTTCAGCTGTTCATCCGTTGACTGCTGACTGCTATCATTGTTGGTATTATCAGCAACGTTATCGTTTAACTCAACAGTGTCCTTCTTTCTGCATTGCTGCCGACTATTGTCATTTCATAAGCTGAACGTATTGCGATTTCTTGGATTATTCTACGTGCTCTTGTCACTTTAATGGCACTTTTTAACTGGTCGAATGAACGACAAAACACGCAGATATTTTGTCGCTCTTTTTCGGATCTTTTTGAGAATAATCATTCGAAGTAACAACTTCATTCGTTTCAGCAGTTAATCTTGAACTCAAAAGAATTCTCTCAAAATCTTTTCTTGTTGCAGATTTCAGTTACGATTTCCTGTTTGAGTGAATCACCGATACATTTATGTCGTTTATGAATTCGCTCGCAAAACCTTTAAAAAACTTGCTATTGGTCTAGGCACCTTTCAAAAGACCCAATCAACGTGGCTCGAAGCAGTTGGTCAATAAGTGCTCTGAGTCAGCAACGCCTAGGCACTCATTTGAACGTATTCACAGATCCCCACGCAAATTGAACATTTCTCCCATATATTTACTTTTTCTTTTTAATCGCTTCTCATTCGTTTCAGAAGCGGTCAAACAAATCAGTCCCAACGCACCTCCATTACATCGCAATATTCTTTCAACACCTTTGATTGTTCTCTTCCATTACTCCAAAAACTATTCCTTTATACTAGCTGTGATGTTCTGCTGAAATATTGCTCAAACAAATTGTCAAATCATCCTAATTCAGTTGCACTGTGAAATGTATCGTTTGGAAGTCTTTACCTCATTGAACTATTCGATGCAATATTAGATCGATAAGATTATTGCTATTTTAATCGAACACATGCGCGCCTCTAAATACTAACATTTCTTTAAACTATATAAAGCCATCATTTTATATAACCATGTTCAGTTTTCAACAGCACGGTCCTTTTTATTATGTTCTTTTATCAAATTATCTTAGATTATCATTTTCACGCTTTGTATCCAGATATTTTCGGACGTTCTCGAAAGTATCCCGTAATGATGTATGAAGGCATCATCCATTCATTATTTACTTATACCGTAATCATTATCTTATTTCCACTGTTATTATTTTCTCATTTTAGATCTCCATTACTGTTAACTCCTCTCAGACTGTGATCCATCCATAACCCATGCAGCTAAATGCGACTAATTATCTTATTTCTTCATGGTTTGCTTCAGCAAATCTAATTACATGTGAAAATGAATAATAATCCNGAATTAGTAACGAATAAGTACATCAGATGAGACCAAAAAAATATTTTCGGTCAACAAAAACTGAGCCAGACGATGGATCATAGTGCATTCAACCGTAACGCTGCATTCATGTTACGTGATTATCAGCTTCCTAATTAATGTTGCTAAATTACAACGAGTTGAGTATGAGGGCTTTTCATGAATATCCTCATTCTGATGGTGGTGGGTTGTGCAGTAGATGTTGAAGCATGATAAGTGTACATCTACTCTCGATGTTAATCAAAGGTTGTTATTCTTAAGTACTTGAACCTTAAATACGAATAACTCAGACGTTATGCGGCTCGTTCGGCACACAGTCAATCATTCCATATTATCAACGTTTTGATCAACTCCTCATATTATTACTAACGTTTTGATCAACTCCTCATATTATTATCAACGTTTTGATCACAACTACGATCCACCCATTTTTCACTTCAAATGTTTCTTGCCTCACACGATTAAGCAACATCTCCTCATATTATCTGTGCCATAGTTGCAATATTCCTCAATTGTTATTCTCAAAGTTTGCATCTGAAGCAAAACATAATCAGTTTTGCTTGAATACATTCAGTTAAAGCGGCAAAAAAAATTTCTATAGTTCACGAGCTGCTGCATACAGTAGTGAAAGACTATTTAGTGCTGCTGATGTGAGTAACGTCACAACACTGTGGAATGTTATCAAACTGCTGCCGATACTTCAAAAAAAAATGAGAGGAGCATAGAGAAATTTGTTCAATGGAGTAGAAGTTTAAGACGAGTGATGAAAAAAATGCGAACGATGAAGTATATAGTCGAAACAACCGGTAAGCGAAGAGAATGAACGGCCATAGAAACGTTCGTCGAGATGTTGTTGAAAGCAAATACAGAAAGATATTTTGCGTTCTTTGAAGACGTTACTCGACGTACAGAACCGACAAAACTTGTAACGACGGTATGTTGTGGGGAATAGAAGCAAAAAATGAACCACATATTGAAAATGTTTCATCGAGTAAATGAAATCGCATCGGAGAAATGAATTTTTGAAAATGTTCTCAGCAATTCTCGAATGATTGATTGGCTAACGTTGAATGATCGCTTTTGTTGGTGAGTGCATTCGAGCGGACTTATATCGAACACCAGTTTTGCTCGATAAAAAAAAGCGGCAATAATTTCTGTGTGGAGGTCTCAATTCACTGATCACAAATCACATTATCGCTTCATGAAACATATGCGAATGTTCTCTTTCGTTTGCGCCTCTTATCACTGCATCTGATTAGCCAAATAATGAGAAATGTGTTAGTTGAATCGTTTAAAAAATCAAACATTTTGGATGAACAGTTTTTGGCATTAGTGAATCTCATTTCGTGATTATCTCACGAAATTTTGTGATTGTCCAGTGATACCACGTTGGAAGAGACACATTTAACAATGTACATAACGACAGCACCCAGCGAACAGATTTGGATGCCTTAATTAGAGACTAAATGCTAATGTTTAATAATGATACTTGTGCAGCAGTACGCATGAAAATTTGAAACTCTTTTTTTTTTAAATGTTCCTTAACGAAAATGCTGATTGTGTGATGCAGTGGAATTGCCTGATGCCTATTGTTAGAACAGCATTCACGCGAATACACTACGACAAATACGAAAACACAAACAATTACGACAAATCACACACTTTTTCAGCACTCTTGGCTGCTTATGAAGGTGTCATTATGATGAACGATAGGCATCGATAAAACGAATGAAGTTCATCCGATTGGTGCAATAGTCGTACTGATTTAGAGGCAATTTTGCCTCGGAAAAGAACGAAAGATTCGTAAAATATTGAGTGAATTCACATTTCGATAGAACTGCTCAAAATCGGATGTATTTTGGGGATGTTTGGGACCAAAAATCTTGCCGAATATTTTTTCAGAAAACATTTACTCCATGGATGTTACAATCACAAAAAAAAACATTGCGGCAGATCGTTATTATGATGAGAGCGCGAAGTCTTTTGATGTGAGCCATATGAATGATTTCAATGAACATCCTCTCATCTCAGTTATTAAAAATGAGCCAATGGCAAACGATTAAGTGATGCGCTCCTCTGGCTGCTTACATTTTAGGAAAACAGCTTATTGTTGCGTTCGCTTTCCCTATGTTTTCGCAGCAGTAAGGTACGAGTATTCTGTAACAAATCATCGTGAACCTCTTAGAGGAAATCTATCGATTACGTAACATTTACGATAGAATCATTTTATGCTGAGTTATTACGTTACACGTATTTTTGTAATATGCCTTCTCGTGATAATCTTTACACTATGGCAGATATTCGCCAGGTTCTGATAACGGTCCTTTTGTTTCACTCTCCAGCTTGATGAATTTGTCAGAATGCTTCATTCAAATGACATGCGCTCACAGACTAAAAAGTATTGTTCACGGTGCTGATCTGAAAACTGTATTTGAGCGGGTCATCGGTATATCCAAGCTAAGCGATTGCCTGTTAGATGTAGCAAGCTCAGGA